ACAGAGTGAACTGATTTGCGCATAGGGTTATAAATCGTGAAACCCCGCAACAGTGTTAACAGATTAATGCGATTAGGGTTATAAAGTGTGAAACCCCGCAACTGTGTGATAAGTAATTGTAGCCGTTATTTGTAGATTGTTAAATAAACCAATTAAGGATCTCTACGGCGTCTTCAGTAGCGAAACACGTTGCAATATGTTTGCTAAGTTTGTGTCACCTTTTTACAGCAATCAGCAATGAAGTTCTTTTTAGGTAGATTGTAAAGGGTTCTGATGATGGTGTTTAGCATTCAGAATTACTGGGGTTTTCGATTTTTTCCATCATCCGGTATTCTAGAGACTAGGAAACATGATGTTTCCGAAATTGGATCTGTTTCCATCCTCAGGTTGGGGGGGAAGACATGAAGACACTTGCTCAGTTGGGTCCCTTAGAAAGAGGTAACCTTGATCAATGGACCCAGTGCCTTATGCAGTGAAAATCCACATGCTATTGCCTTTATGGTCATGCAGGAAACTATTGCCATCACAGGCAGCACATTTACGTCTCACTTCAACACTGTATGCTATCCAAGAGAGATAAACAAATAAATAAGGAAATTTCACTCCAGTCAAAGGAGCATGCAAGTTGATGGATTTTAGTTTACATTCTACTTTATTTATGAAAGTGGTAAAATACAGGGTTACTATACGAGGGGCAGACAAAAAGTTCCCGGAATGGTGGTATACTATTCTAATGGTAGGACATGTGGCAATGCTTACCTAATCACCTTCAAATTAGGACTCTCGCATGCGCGCACACCTGCTCCATCGATCCTGCCATTGTTGGAGGCAGCGGTGGAAGGCTTCTTTTGGAATCCTCTGGAGCTCAACCGTCACATTCGATTTGATGTCCTCCATGGTTGAGAAACGTGTCCCCTTGAAGCCCTTTTCAGAGTAGCGAACAGCCAAAAGTCACTTGGAGCGAGATATGGAGAGTATGGTGGTTGAGTGATTACAGGAATGATTTTCTCGGTGAGAAATTGTGGCATTGCGCAACCTCTGCAAAACTTGCACATAGAAATGACCAGTACCAGTACCAACTTCTTGCTCCAACTCCACAATGGTCATTCTTTGATCACATTGAATCAGTTGTCGCACTTTTCCAGTCATGTCAAAGGTCTTCCACTGTGCTGGTCATCTTCTAACGTCTCCTGCCCATCCTTAGGCCTCTCGTCCACTGGAAGCGGAAAGCTGCGGAAAGTTGCGATGAGGAGTTCGTCCGAACACGCACGGAAACGGACGAACGATCCTAACAGCTTGCATCAGGTTAGAGTGCGTCCATTGGTAGCAGCACTATTTGTCCGTGAACGCGCGTATACTTGCGAACTGCGAAATATCCAGATTGGTTTGGATTTTTCGGACGAAGAGCTGCATTCACCACCTACGAACTGATACTGTTCAACCGAGAAATCTGTCGAGTAGTGTTCCTGACATTGCGGACGCCTGTATTGAGACAGGCACTGATAATATTACAACACAAAGTGAATATAATGATGCATTTTCTACTCCAGATTTTCAATCAGATATCGAGAATGATGCACCTGTAAATACGTCTCCGGCACAAAAAGAGCATTTCAAAAGTCCGCTAAAAAGAGGAAAGAAAAGAATTAATTACGATGACAAATTCTTCGAAATAGAATCTAAAAAGTTGAGCTATTTCGAAAAGAGCTCTCAAATGAAGCAGGATAGTGACTATCAATTTCTGATGAGCTTGCCTGAAGAAAGACAGCTGCGATTACGCATGAAATTGATGGATGTTTTACTGCAGGAACAGGAGGATCGAAACAGCAGCGTGATGTCCACGTCAAATGTTTCGCCTCTATCCCTTGAATCGACACGCAGTTCCCATAATAGTTCCCACAGCAATGAATTTGTAACAGACAAGAACAGTGCCGCTGTGTATCATAGTAATTTCGATCCTTTGTAGAAACAACGGTTTGTATGTAATCACTAAGAAGCAAGAATAATATAACATCGATGTAATATTTTGTTTTCTCAAACTCTTATCAAATCCTTAACTTAACGTTACAGCTAGGC